TCACTAGGTGTTGTGTCCGACGTGACACTCGCTACTGCACAGTGAGCAGCTGTGCAGGGCCTTCCTCTTGTTGCTCGCTGTTCGTTGTTCGCCTGGGTTCTAGAGCAGACGTGATAGCCAGCCAACTGTCCAGGGCCCATTCAGGACAGATGTGACCGCTTACCAGCTGCGTGTGCTAAGCACTCTAAGAACCCGGCGTCACTCCTGCCTTTGCACAACGAGGGTTTGTGCAGGGCTTCTCAACCTCCTCTTGTTGTTCGCTGTTCGTTGTTCGCCTCGGTTCTAAGCAGACGTGATAGCCAGCCAACTGTCCAACAGGGTAGCTTAGGACAGATGTGACCGCTTACCAGCTGCTTGTGCTAAGCACTAAGAACCCGGCGTCACTCCTGCCTTTGCACAACGAGGGTTTGTGCAGGGCTTCTCTGCGGTAGTTCGTTTAGCCGCAATATCTCTCCCTTGGGTTCGATAATTAGCGTTTCCAGGGCACACCACGAGGAGGCGAACTACTTCATGCCCCAACCAGAACATGTCTGGGAGGGCTAGTGTGACCATGGACTCTCAATAAGGCGATTACTGCCCAAAATTTGTCAAATGATGAAGTTTGATATGTCGAACGATGGGTTTTGGTTCTTGTTGAGAATTGGCCACTTCCCCGGGGGCACTAGAACATTCCTGGGAGGGCTAGTGTGACCATGGACTCTCAATAAGGCCGTTACCGGCCAAGATTTGTAAAATCATGAAGTTTGATATGTCGCATGATGGGTTTAGGTTCTTGTTGAGAATTGGCCACTTCCCCGGGGCACCAGAACATTTCCAGGATGCCCAATGTGATCGTGGACCGTCGATATAGCTGCCATTGGTCCAATTACATCATATGAGAGAAAAAACATGATGTTCATCGTGTGTATACTTATTACAGAACAGTAAAGCCGAATGCCGACCAAAAGTGACCCCAACGGGAACCGGAATAACTCCGGAACTATGTATTCATCCAAATATTTTCAGATAGATTCAAAAACTTCAATAGATTCCCGATAAAATGCAATTTTTTGTGAAGAAAAAGACTGATAAATTATGTTTTTAGAGCTAATTGAATTTTGAAATCTATGCAAATTCAGACGTTAGGCACGCAAAGGTTAACCAAATGGATAGTCAAGCCTTATTTACATAATAAATACAAATTGAATATTAAAAGTAAGCTGATGAATGTTATGCAAGAAAATTTAAAAAATGTTCGTGTTGTAAGCGAAATTAAACCGTTGGGGTAAAATGAGCACCCAGAATATTCTGCTCTCTTGAGGCTTTGTGAAGGGTAAACAATGAACTGTTTTGGCATAAAACAGATTTAAAAGAAGCAATTATTTTCTGTAGTATAAATTAATTTTAAGAAGTACTGCCTATTTAGGGCTATATTTTTTCAGTCTTGTGAATGACTGATTTTTTACCAAAGCGGCTGCTTCAAAACATGATTTCATATGATACAGTCACATTTATGAAAGGAATAATGCAAAATTGAAAAATTTAGTTGAAATTTCAGTAGTGCCCATATTGTCCCGAATGAACGTTTTGTTTTGTTAAGAAAATCTTTAATGTTTATTAAAAACTAGAAAAACATCGTGTCATATAAAAATCCAATGACCATTTATTAAGCTGCTGAATGAATATCACCGATAAGTTATAAAATACTACTAATATACCTTATTTTCTGATTCAGAAATCTTAAAACAGTTTTGACAATTTGAGCTAGTCTAACATTTTTCGAATATTTGCTCTAGAGAAAAGTAGGCTTCTAGTAGGCTCTAGAGTTGAAGTAGGCTTCAAGCATTAAGCCTGTAACAGATTTTTTGTAAAATATGTTCAATAAGTTGATTTTTAAGCGGGTGACCAAATTGTACGATTGGCCTTATTGCCCCACTTTCCCCTACACACTTTAGGCGGGCGAACCAGCGTTGCCAGATGTACCGATTTATCGGTATTTATACCGATTTCCGAACTAGATACCGATATACAGATAAGGTTCCACAGAAAACCGATTTTTAAAATTTTATACCGATTTATACCGGTTTTTTTTTTTAAATAATCAAAATTATGACTGCCTGCCCGCGTTCGAATTTCGGAGAAAATTTTTGTGAGAGACTTGTATCTGACTCATATTTTTTGAGCCTTCAAAATTCTAAAAAATCATCTCTAAAGATGCCTTGATACTCTTTCGACTAATGTTTGCATTTCCTCCTTTTGATTGGCTACCCATCGAGAAAATCGAGAAAAAATCGATGGCTCTTTCCGGTAGTTCCTAGGGAATCGAGAATTATTTTTTAAGCATTATTTAGCTTCCGTACGTTTTCATTCATTTTATTAACTTCCTGAAGCTTATCCAACTTTCCCTGGAATTTTCTTCCACCTTACCTTGGAAGCTTCTTCAGCCTTCGCTCGAATGATTCTTTCATCTTCTCCCGCCAGTTTTTTTCAATTTTCCCGGAACTTATTTTTATTGCGGATCCACACTAGCTGCAGGAACAGTTAAGAAGTTCTGAAGCTTCAGAAAAGTCCAGACTTTTGTGTAAGTTTCGAATAATCAAAGACAGTTTCATAAACTTCTGTTAAAATTCGAAAACCTGGAAATTTCAGAAAAGTCCAGTGAACTCCAGTGAACTTAGGGAAACATCATAAATATTTTGGAAACTTCACAAGTTCAAAGAACTTGTTAGTGAAGCTCAGAGAACATCAGGATAGATCAATAGATTTCAATAAAATTGCTGAAATTATAAAGGAGTTCCGAAAAACTCAGGCAATTTCCAAAAACTGCAGCAATGTCCTGAGAGGCTCATGCAAATTTAGGAAACGTAAGGGAAGTTACATTAGAACATTGTGAGAACATTTTATGGGAAGTTCTATGCTTTTTAATGGCAGTGTCGATAACTTTAAAAAATTAAAAAAAACGGGAAGATCAGACCTTCAAAGAGGATTAAAGATATTCTGGAATTCTCATTATAATCAGGGAAATTCCGAGCGCTTCGAGGATGACCAGAGAACTCCAAAACAGCCCCTAATTTCAGGATAATTACAAGAACTTTTAAGGAACTTCGAGCAATTATTGAATACTTCTAAGTGCATTTCAGGAATGTTCCGAAAAATTCAGGGAAATTGCGAAGTCTTCAGGGATGTTTTATGAATATCAGGAAAATTTTCTGGATCATTAGAACATACCCCAGCGATCTCTATCTTCCGGAAGTATGTTCTTGTTTCTTTCGACTGCTCCGTAAGCGCTCTGGCTTCCAATTATCTTCAGATGTTTCTTCCAATCTACCTTAGGAAGTTTATGCCAGCGTCTCCAGGAAGTTTCTTTCGTCTTTTCCAGGAAGTTCAATTAATTATTTCAGAAATTTATTTCGTCTTCTTCTGGAAGTTTGACCATAAGCCAATGGTTTTTTGTTCGACTTCTATTGGAAGGTTTTTCCGAGCTTCTTAATTTTCATGGAAATGGCTACTTCTGGAAATCTACTTCGGGTTTCCGAAACTTGCTGGCTTCCTTTGGATGTGACATCCGATTTTTTTCCGATAGTTTATTTAAATTTAGTCTTGGAAGTTTCCTGGGTGTTTTTCAAGCTTTTCCCGAACTTCATGCAAGAGAGCTTCTTTCGTCTTTCTTTTGATGTTTTTTCAGCTCCATTCAGAAGCTAATTCAAAGATTCCGCGGAATTTTCTTCCGGAATTTTCCGATCATAGTTCAAAAACTAAAATTTTGCTTTGATTAACGGCTTTCTCAGTCTTAAACACTGCTACGACTACGATGTAATCTGCCCGACATTTCGGCCATGGGTTGTAGCTTTTTTCAAGGGAAAATATTGTTTGTCGTTATTGTCAATAGTTTGGTCGTTGTTTTGGCTGATTTTCCATATTTTGGTTTCATTTAATGATATTTAATTGAAAAAACTACTTGGTCACAATTTCGATCACCATTTGAGGACAACGATAATTTTGAAAATTAAATTAAAAATTTAAAGAGTGTTTTCAGACTGAGAAAGCCGTTAAACAAAGCAATTCCCCTCAAGTCCCAGTCGTCACTATTGTTAAAAAAATTGCTTTCCAAAACGGCAAACATATATAATAGTAAATACCGATAAATACCGATTTTTTCATATCTTCGATACCGATAAGCTTTAAAACAATCTGGCAAAGCTGGGGCGAATATCGACTTCCACGAAGTTCAAAATTATTATGTTTTTAATCAGTAATAACAATACTTGACTGTACAATTCTCCACGCTTACATGATTCTACATTCTACCCAGTCCAACCATCCGTTCCATACATAACATGCTGTAATTCGACTGAAGCTAACCTTTGTATAGACCGGTTTTTCACCAACAAAGATATACCCCCTAAAGTCGAGACACGTAACATCATCCTCAGCATGGAAATTACTTTCCCTTTCGATGTCTGGTTGCTCGAAACTCGCTAAAAGCTACATCTCAGCTGACTTCGTGCATACGCACGCTCGTACCGTCCCGAGCATTATCCACTAAAGTAGGTACATATAACCATCAGCTCAACTTGACATTCAGTCATGGTTTTATATCCACGGAGGAGCCAAACTGTCGCCGCCAAGCCGAAATGATATTTCTCGTTTCGCTTCTATTTTGGTCAGACGAACTATTATTTAGTACTGGTCGGTCAGCCACACGATCTAGACTTTAAAACGAGCAGGGCGGGAAATATTATTTTGCTTTGTTATCATACAGTCACGTTTGTTGACATTTGCAGTAGCTACCCGAATTCCATATCTTCCACTGACCTTCGATTGCTTACTTGTTTATTTTGGTAGCACAAATTGCTCAGTGCCCTAAAGGGTTAGTAACATTCTCATTCAATAAAACGGCTAAAAATAGCTGTTGGCAGCGATCGTTCAAAAGTCGTTGGCCAACTAATTAGCGACTGAAAAGCATTTCTCATCAAAACAACATTTTTCATCGTCAATTTTCTTCGCTCCCTTCTTCACAGGTTGCCTCAACCGCTGACGCCGTAAAGTATGCGCCTGGATGAGCTGGTAGCATGGTACCAGAAAAAGATCGGCACATACGACAAGCAACAATGGGAGAAAACGATCGAGCAGAAGATTTTAGCCGGCATCAATCATCTCCCCCTTAAAAACACCAAACTCAAAACCGAACTGATCGATGTGGATTTGGTGCGTGGATCAACCTTTCCCAAGGCCAAGTCCAAACTTTCCATCCTTACTGTGATCTATCTTGCCGCCTTACGGCTTATCCTCCTGCCAATCTATGCCAAATGGTGGGTCCAGCAGACCTCGCCGAGGGTATTCGTTCTACTGCTTACCCTGTACCTGCTGCAGATGATCAACCTCGGAATCTACAGCTACAATGTGAACAAAACCGATGCCGATCAGGAAGAGCATATCGTTTCGATATCGGACTTCTTGATCCCGATGGCGCTGAGCCTGTTGTTGAGCGTAATCCATTCGCAAATCGTTGCCACCGCCTCGAACAACAACAGTCTTTGTCTGAAGATGAAGAAATGTCACTCACATTCCACGTTGAAAAAGCGCGAGCGAATACGAAGGAAACGGCGAGCCCGAGCTTCCCAGCAGCAGCCGGGATCGGGGGAGTCGACTACAGCCGCCACCAATACCACCGCCAGTGGACCTGGCAACGACGATCCAGATCGACCGATGAAGGCGAAGGTATTTTATGGAGGCACGTCCCGATCTCCAACGGGTTCTCCGGCGAGGACCGCTAAAAAGCAGGGTGCCTGCAGCACCAGTAGCAGTACCAGCAGTGAAGCTTTGAGCAATCAACTGGCCGGTAGGAAGGTGGACGGCACGCGGATAGATGAGATCAGGAAAGAAATGAAAAAGGAGGAGGTGGGCAAGGCTTCGCCGAAGAAAGTCCCGAATGGAATGGCAGTGGTTTCGGCCGAAATTAAGGATAACGATGAATGTAAAGAAAATGGCGGACCGGATATGACGGTGGCGGACGATATTGAAGATGATTCGGTTTTTCTTGATTCGAGGTAAGTGTTTGCAGTTCCATGAATGCAATCTAGCGGGACAAAATTAATAGCTCGGTGAATCGCCAGGACAGGATTTCATTTTAATTAGGGTAGAGCGCAGAAAACATCAGACTAATCAATGATTTCACCGGGCACAAATCAGTAATATGTTTGTACCGATGCGTTAGTTCACAAGCTACAACACAAAGCCTATTAGAGCGTATTGCGTGAATATTTACACTCATTGTTCTCAAAACAAAAGAAGCGCTCCTAGCGAACTCGCTTTTTCTACCCTCATCCGTAGGACGAAGAAAATCCAATGGCGTTTCAAAGCGTTTGGACGGAATTGAAATTCGTATTTGGAATCAAGAAGCAGTGTTAGATTTTTAACAATATCTCAACAACGTGTGGGGAATAATTTTAGAAGTCATCTTTGATAGAAACATTTCATTTATTGTTAAAACCCGTTCAAGAAAGAGAGACAAGCGTGGGTTGTGCTTAGTAGGACGGAACTTAGATCAAAAACCCTTCTTGGATTGGTTCAACTCCCAAGTAATTTTGTCAATTCATCTTTGATCTGAACCAGGAATTCACCACTGGGTAGACCTTTCAAGACAACCTTGAATAGACGTTCAGTGTTGGTGTCGTAGGTTTACAATTGGTGCTGCTTCTCATTAAGATTGTAATCCGACAGCCTTACGAGTTTCCCGTTTTTAGTAAAAATGGCTTAAGCGCCACTCCCGAGGGAGACCATCTACCGAGACTAGGGTTGCCCGACCGTATGAGACCTTTCAGGGAAGGTTCTGTTTTTCCCAAATGAATGAGCGGGAAGCAAGTTGGCTGTTGATCGATTACGGTAAGGACGGGAATGCCCACGACCTATGGTCGTGAAAGAATCAATAAAAAGAATGAAGCATTCACGAAAACGATTTCTGCCACCGATGAATTGCTCTCGCGGATTTTATCATCACGGGCAGACTTGACACAACACTTCGAACGGATCCCGTTCGAATAGAGAGATATCCTGGTTGGTTTCGGGGCCAACTCCCCCAGTAAAACCCTGCAAAAACTTCACAAGAAAACGACCGGAAACGTGAAAAAGCCTTACATTCGCTTTTCTAGATCACTTTGGGAAATGATGAACAAAAACTTTTTATCTGTAGTGTGTTGGTTTATTGAAAACGCATCCTATTCATATTCAAACTACCTCTTGTTCATCATGGTTTATTTTCGTACTCCTACGTTATCGACAATTTATTATTCTAGGCGTATCTCAAATTCATTCCCTCTAGTTAGCTATCCTTTTCTTCTTTCTTCTTCTGGCGGTATTTATTTAGTGTGCTGTGCGACAAATGGTGTTCATTTTGTGTGTGCTACAAAAAGTTGTTTGGCGTTACCGACGCTTGCGCGGATCGGAATGGGTAACGGCTGAACGAACAGCGGGCACGATAGCGGTTATGCTGTGCTAGAGGCTTTAACTCACCATGCGCATGGGAATTTTGTTAACATGCATGTTACTCACGTTTTGACTCGCTACTTGCGTGGAGGAATTGGCGGTTGCTCGATGATGCCGGTTGGACCCACGTGTACCACACGCGATACTCCTACGGACTCCGAAACGATGCTACTGCGAACTGCACATAGCCGATGTGTTTTCCAACTACGCCTCACACGCTGAGTTGTGGTCTTCTACCTAGACGGGGTAAGGCCGTCGCATCGATGGTCGTCACCGTCGACGGGAAACTGCGGAAAGTGGTTGCCGCTGGAGAGGGAGGTCACCGGTTCGAAACCAGTGGGTTGCTGCTCGCTGTGCCTAGGGCGCGGAAACCTTTTTGCTGCCCTTTTCCGGCCTCTGGTACCACCGGGTGTTCTTCGAAGCTGAAAAAAGGGGTCGAAAACGGTCGCTGACTGATGTGGGTGGTGTGACGAGCTTCGCAACTCGCCACAAATCTGCCAAAGAGAAATTCCGTCGCTTGGCATTCAACATCTGCACACTGAACAAAGTTATGCACACAAAATTACCTCGATTTCAAAACACCTTCGCACACTCCTAACCGCCGAACTAACGCACTAAGCACTTTCTGCTTTGATTTCGAAAACTAACGAACTAATCGAGGGAATTTATAAAGAAAATCTAAATTAACAAACTTAAAGACAATTTCACGTTTACTAATTCACCTTTAAATTCACACCACGGCGCGATAACTGAAACTCGGACCGCTCAAGCCTCTTCCACAAACCAGAACGAAGTGAAAGAATCAAGTCTGAAGGTTCTCAGATTAGGCGCAAGAATTGCAATCTTCGTCGCCGGAAATTACGTGAAATCAACGAAGTTGATTTTCACGAAGTTCAAAAAATCGCCTTCACGCATACTAGTTTTTTTGTAAAAAATACGAAGGAAAGCATTCTCATTCTATCAAGTTAACGCATATGCCAATTCGCCTCCCACCCGAAGTGCATGAAAGGATGGGACGGGTAAACAAATCCTGAAAGCAGAATTGTGCAGCTCGATGTCCGTGCGTTTACGCGTGGTTTGCTTAGACTCTTCGTTTGGCTATCGAATAACGCTTTGGCGCCCGAAATGGTACAGAGAACTCATTTACCATCTAATGAACATTTCGGTGAGTGAACTTTTTGCGAACGCTTCATGCGTCAAGCGGTAATTCGATGGTGTTTGAAAAATTTCAATTAATGTACAACTTTTTACATTTTGATTTTTATAATATGGCACCTGCCACAAGATACTTAAGAAGACGTTTGAATCCGTCCAAGGTTTCAGTCAATACACGACATTCACCCCGACGGCCAATTTGAAGTGAAAACTTGAATTTAACAAAGTTCAAAAGTTCCGTGCGAAGAGCATGGAAATCGGAAGTGGTGGTTATCACAATAGGGGGACCTTTTCCTTTTTGGCACAAAGCCGGGAAAGTTTACTGGAATTTTGCCTGGATGATGGATCATTTTCATCATCCGTGAGCATATCAAATTGATTACACAAATAAGTTTCATCAGAAGGGGGATCAAGAGGTTGCCCTTTTCTTTTGCGTCGACTTCCAAGCAGATTACTACAAGAATCTGAAGGATCGAAGAGGAATTTTACAAATCGATATCCAAGTAGGATTACCACGGGTAGGGTCTAAACAAGGATCGAAGAGGAATAAGAGTCGAACAAGGTAGAAAATGTGCAGGTAATAATGACCACTGAAAAGTGCTGTTTAAATTTGTGGTAGCTTTATGTAGCAGTAACACTTCCTTGAGAAAAAAGCAAATAGCAGTTCAGTAAATGTTGATAGCTCAAGAGTGAAGAAAAAGTTACCGAACAAATTTTAAATCAAAAAATTACCGAATATTTGGCTTTTTCATATTCGGTAAAACATTGCAGTATACTGTAAAAAAAATCTTAGTGTGTAAGGATTATCGTGTAGGTTATCTCGATAGAAAACAACATAAATATTTTTTTGTATTGATCATTTTAGGCAACTGGTAATAAATATGGTTAATAGAACTGATGTTCTGGGTTTTTCTCCGTTGAATAGTCTACTAATGTCAAGATCAAATAATCAGAAAAATACACTTTCTTGAAGCTTACAGCTCAAAACTGAAAAATTATTTATTAAATACAATGAAATTAATTCAAATTCCGTTGATCAGCTTTGCAGTAGCCTAACCAATGAAATTACATGATTTCATTAACATTACTTACGAAATCCTATGTTTCAGTATTACAATTTATTGGAAATTCACTAAATAAACAAAGGTTTCAAAAATGTTTGTGGTCCCATTAATGGCATGGTTTACGGTTTTCGATTTGACCTTCACTTTCTTTGAACACGCACCATCGAGCAGTCGTCGAACCAGCCAACAGGAGAACATAAAAGTGAAGGTCAAACCAAAAACGGCAAACCATGCCGAAGGTGCAACCGCACAGACCACCGCATTCGTTATTGTGAGGATTTCCGGAGGCTAGCATGGGGAGACAAAACTAAAGATTGTGGAGAAGTGGAAGTTGTGTCAAGTGTGTTTCAACGAGCACGGACAACCGCGTTACCGATTTTAAGGACACTGCAACGTCGGTGATTGCAAGGTTCGTCACCACCAAACTACCACGTGCAGAACTCGAAACAGCATCCCGTTATTTTCCGAGTAGTTCCGAACAAGCTCTACAAAGGTAAGCGCACCATGCACGTTATTGCCTTCTTGGACGAGGACTCGGCGTATTACCTGATGAAGAGCAGCGTTGTGGATCACATGAAGCTAAGCGGTACCTGGAAGCCAATACTCGTCAAGCGGGTATGAGCCGGCTAGAACGAGATTCAAGGTCCGTTGATGTGTAGATTTCCGCCAAAGGGTCCAAGGAGAAGTTCCTACTACGCAACGTCATACAGTTCAAAAGTTGCAACTGCCGGAGCAGAAGATATGGTTCGTGGAAGTGGCGGATCGGTTCATGCATCTTTGCAGTCTACCCATAGCCGATTGTCTGGACGGCCCTCCCAAAGTTCTCATCGGGCTCAAACATCTGCATGTATACGCACCACTTGAGTCTCGTATCGGCAAACCTGGTTAATCAATATACGACCCTCAAGGTAACGACGAACCATCAGCGAGTTTCACTGGCCATCACGTAAACGGAGTGCTGGCAGATCAGGACCTGCAAGAAATTCTTAGAACGCATTTCACTTTGGATGAGTCCGGTATGTCTATCACGGTGCTTCCAGAATCTGCTGGAGACCACAGGGCCAGAGAGCTGCTGAAGAAATTAGCCATCCGTGTCGGCGCGCGCTTCAAGACGGGTCTTTTGTGGAAGAACGACAATTCGCAACTTCCAGAAATCTTCCCGATGGCGCTGAAACGCATGAAAACTCCGGAGCGAAAATTGTCAAGAAATTCGGAGTTGCATCAAAGCGTAAAGAAGAAGGTTGACGACTATTGACGTAGGTTACGCTCACCTCGTTACGTCTAAGGAATTAACGGAAGCCGAACCAGGTAAGGTCTGGTATCGCTCTCTAAATGTTGAATTGAAC